ATATATATATATATATATATAAAGACGTCCCATTTTGGTGTCCGCATCAAATGAAATTTACAAAAGTGAGTTTACATGCATAGAAATTCTTTATTGTTTGAATTTTGGTTTCTAAATGTCTCTTGAATCTTGAGGATTTCAGCCAATAATTCACTTCACAAAGCACATGATACCAATGAAATGAAATGATTATTTTTGAATGAAATCAGCTGAGATCTATAGATGACACTAATGTTTGTTCGTTTTCTCTCTCTCGTAGAACCTGACATGTGAACAACAGTTCATTCTCTCCAGCTATTCTCCAAAACTTCAAACCTTTGCTTTGATTTCATTATGTAATTTAGGGGTGTCCAGTCCTGCAGAGTTCAGCTCCAACACGCTGCCTGGATGATTCTGGGAACTCTGAAGACCTTGATTAGCTGGTTCAGGTGTGTTTAATTGGAGCTAAACTCTGCAGGACAGTTAGCAGCCCAGCATCCTGCAGCGTTTAACTCCAGCACTAATGAAACACTCCTGAACCAGGACTGGACACCTCTGCTTTAGGATATGCTGACTGTGTTGTTTAGACGGCAATATGTTTTCTTATACAGGATGAAGAGAAGCTTCTAACTTTGTATCTGTTTCAGTTTCTGTGTCAGGGTGATCTGCCTGCAGTATATATCAGCACATTTCTAAAAGCTTGGGTGTGGGATTTCTTGCCTTGGTTTAGTCTTCACAACTTCAGCACTTTGACATATTAATGTCTTTGCATATTACTTATTAATGTTGTTTTATGTGCATATTACATATCAATGTGTTTAAAATGAATTTGAAGATTCAGGAGAGGTGTCTTTTCGATTTAAGGGGCATAATTTTAGCAGTCACTGGTTCAAACATATTTGTAGTGTTTAATAGCCTATAGCTTCCAGCAGACAATGCTTTTGGAAAGATTTAATGTAAATAAATCAGAGGTTCACTGTAAAAATCAGTGAAAAAAGATTCAAAATTTGTATGAACATCACTGACTCTATAATTCATGTCTTGTAATTCAGTTCAATAAAACATTTTTCCTTAGTAATCATGCGTCTTTATTAATGTGTGTCGTGGCCTTGATCTGTTTATTAAATTCTAAAATTAAATTCTAATCCAGAATCTGAGTTTTATGGTCTCTTTAACAAACTGCAGTCTGTTGCAGGCTATTTGATA